TTAATATATATATATATATATATATATACATATATATGGTAGTTTTTGTAATTATTTTTATTTTTCAGATATATTTAAATTAAAAAGAAAAACCAATAAATAATTTAATAACTAATTATGCCATGTGTCATTCTATTGTTGTGCCATTTGGCTTCACGAGGTGCTTTTGTCTTATGCATTTAATTATACATAAATTAGAGTAATCTATCCTATTCCCACAATAACAAAGACAATTAAGTAGTTACAACGTTGTGGAGGAGAAAGAATGACAGTTGACGACGAGAGCTCGATATACGTGGGAGGGCTTCCCTACAGCGCCACCGAAGAAACTCTCCGTCGAGTCTTCGATGTTTACGGTGCTGTTGTAGGCATTAAGGTCTTAATCATACTATGTTTTACTATTTATCTCAGCTTATGTCATAAATTAGGGTTTTTTCGAATTGGAATTCCATGGGATTTTGCCAAGGCAAAACGGGATTTTCTGTGAGCTTCTTGATTTTAACACCAAGTCTTCTGTGAGCTAATCGTTCATTTTAAATTTATTCTGTTTTCCCCCCACTAGAATAGTTGCATAAGTTATGTTAGCTTGTTGTTAATTGAATAAAAGGTTAGATCGTTACAGCATGAACATGTTTTGGTTCCCATTTAAAGAATTAAGCTATTTTACTGAATGGTATGAAAGACTCCTTGCCTTTATATGGTAAGTGGTTGGTACTGAAAAACTGCTGTGCCTAAAATTAAGGTTCGTTAAGGTGATGCCTGCAGAAGTAAAAAAAGGTTGGTTAAGCTTGTTATGACTCTTTGAATTAATATCAAGCCCCGTTAAACATTTTACTATGAACCCAAGTTTCTTACATGCTGAAAAGGTTGTGGCTTCACGTGTTTGAATTAGAGGAGCATGGATTCAGTAATTTTGACTGCATTTGGTTTCCAGTTAAATCATGCAGTTTTTGTTGTACTTGACATCATTTTGTTCCTCGAAATTGAAGTTGTGATTCAAATATATAAGTGATTTCTCTGTATGACTAGATAGGTTCATTGTGATAAGTAGCCACATCTGCTTGTGCTTTGGTTGAAAACAGTATCTTAGAATCATGGCCAGTAGGTAATATTGTCAGACGGCTGCAATAGCTTTTTCTTTTTCTGCATTTATTTTTATTTTCAGAAGTTGGACGTTTTACTTTCAGATAATCAATGACCGTAAGGTTGGAGGAAAATGTTATGGCTTTGTCACCTTCACTAATCCTCGGTCAGCCACGCGTGCCATCAATGAAATGGATGGGAGGGTATTTTCTGATCTCTCTGTTATGTAGCTTATAATTACTGAAGTGATATAAATAACATATATTTCCACCAGACTATTGATGGGCGAGTTGTAAGAGTAAATGAAGTGACTACAAGAGGTGGCAGATCAGATTTTGGTCGAGAAAGTATTCGGCATTCTGAGAGAGGGGTGAGAGGTGGTGATACGGATCGAGATTGGGAAAGAGGCTATGATCATGACGATAACAGACGTAGGAATGGGCATAGAGAGCATTCTCGAGACCGCGATCACAAGAGGGAGAGAGGATATGACCGAAATCGTGATCGTGGTCGATCACTAGATTATCAAGTCAATAGAGATCGGGGTGCCGATGATGAAAGACGTTTGGAGGATGTTGAGCCGGAAGATGAAAGGATTCGAGAAAGTAGCTGGGAAAGAGAGAGGGACCAGCCTATAAAGATGCAGAAAACCAACAGTAACCATAAAAGCAGAGATAGAGAGAACGATCAAATGCCTAAGCTACTGCCTCGGTAGGACGTACATTACTTAATGTGTTGCTGCTAGTTTTTTAAGCTACTAAATTGGTTGAGCATACTTTGCGTTACATGCTGCTGGTACTCATTATTATTCTACATTGTGTATATTCTCTACTGATTGGTCATTGGTGGTTTCTGAAAAGTGGTAGGAAGGGTCAAGTAATTTTGTGCAGAGGCATATTAGTGTGATTCTGCCACTTTCCACCTTGGATATGTCTTATTGATACATTATTTCTCTATAACTCATGTTTGCGGCTTGCAACCACATTAAAGTGGATTGCCCGTTATCAAATTGTACAAATTTGGTTTGGTTTTTTGATTATTCTTCATTTACACTAGAAAATTGAGTAGAGTGTTCAACCACTTAACTGATATTTGAGGCATGCCAGAAGAAATTATGCTGATGTTTCATGTACGATTTACTTCTTTGGGAACTTTTTATTTGGCATATGTTCTTATGCAGATATATTATTACATTCTGCGGAAACATATACATTTGCAGGCCTCATTAGTTATATTTTGCACTTATGATAGAAACTTGTGCAATTGTTAGTTTAGTGTTCACCGTAGCTTGAAACCATTTATCCTATGCTTGCTTGGTAGCTCTGGTCTTTTCTTGTTTTGGTTGACAATGTAAAATCAATCCCCTTCTTGATGGTGATGCTTAGATGAGCATAATGGACAGTTTTAATGGTAAGTCTAATTTGAACAGGTCTAATTTAGACGACCATGTTAGTAGAGAGCTGTCAGCTGAGTCAAGTGAGAATGATCAGCATCAGGTAGACCATTGCTTTAAAAAATGATATAAATCTTAGAATTTGAAACTTTGTAGTTGGCGTTAGTGCTTTATTTCATGTGTTACTTTGTTTTAATTTTATTCAGATGGAAAGGCAAACAGAAATTTCAGGTCGGAAACTTGAAGAACTTAAGAAAAAGGTAATTGAAGAATAGTAGATCAACGATTTCTTTATTTGGGTGTTATAAGTAGTTTAAAATGATGGTCAGGCACGTCACTCCTTGAAATTGATAAGTGTGAATAGTTTCACTTGTGCTAAAATGAAATGAATGGTTAGATTGCTTCCAAGTTTTGCTTGATGGAGGATAATTTCAAATTCCAGCACATTTACCATCAGAAAAATCAGCTTGAGATATAAGCTAGAACTATTAGTATTTGAAATTCTTGATTCTTTGCATGTCACGAGTTGATAAAATAATCCAACAATTACATCTCAGTTCCAAATAAGTTGGGGTCAGCTATATGAATCCTCACTAATTATGTTTCTCCGTTTGAATTCCTCTTAGGTCAACATTATACCAAAAAAAAGATCATTAATAAAGAGTACAGAAAAGCTCTCAATATTTTTAATGGCATAAAAATCTCAGATGGAGCTAAAAGAAACTCCTAAAAGAATTGAGACCTAAATGTACTAACATATCCAAAATATATACTAACTGGACTATATAGATTTTTTCCTTCCATAGTGTCTATCTTTTGCTAAGCTTGCGTGGGTTCCAAGAAATTATGTCTTTCAAGACAACTTATTTCCATGTGTGATTTTAGGTCTACATCGTCCCTTTTTAACACCTTCACTTGTTGTGATTTGACGCCTACAAATTGGTGCATTTTGATGTAGGCTTGGGACATGACCAAATCATCTGAAACGACATTCTCTCATTTTATCCTTAATATGTGCTACTTGCATCTTTTGGAGAATGTGATCATTTTTAATCTATCTAATTTTATATGACTCCTCATCTTAGCATCTGCATTTCTGCGACACTCATCTTTTGGATGTGCACTTTAATGGCTCAACATTCACTCCCATATTCGTTGCTGGTCTTATAATGTTTTATAGAACTTATCTTTTTAGGTATCATTCTTATCACATAAGACCTCGATAATAATTCTTCATTTCAACCATTCAATTTTGATTATGCGTAGCATCATCATCTATCATTTCATTCTCTTGGAACAACGAGTCTAAATATTTGAATTATTGCATTTAAGCACCACAATCCCGTTTAGTCTCACCTTAACTTCACTCTTCTTGTGCTGACTAAACTTGTAGCGCATATATTCAATCATACTATCCTAAAAACTTTGCTTTCTAGAGTGTTTCTCCATAATTCAAACATTTAATTGATACCCTTGCTGGTTATTGATTAGCACAATATTATCAGCAAATAGCATACGCCATGAGACCTTATTTATATTGTGTTGGTTAACTTATCCATGACTAAAGCCCAACAAGTACAAGCTCAATGGTGAACCCTGATATAAATCTACAGTATGGGGAACTTTGTATATTTTACTATTGTTCTCACGCTAGTGATAGATCCTCAATATATGTTTTTATGTCATTTTTATATTTAATATCAATTCCTTTCTTCTCCAACCGTCACCAAAGGACCCTTCTTGATCTCAATAAGCAAAATGTATAGATTTTTCTTCCGTTCGTGATAAATTTTCATCAATCTTCTTAATAAGAATATACCTCCATTATTGATCTGCTGGCATATATCCAAATTAATTCTCTATCACCCTTGTAGAGTCCCTAAGTCTATTAGCTCTATTATATTATTACTTATCAAAAAAGAATTAAGTCTAAGGCTCTCACTCTTTCTAAGAGTTTCATCCTATGATTCATAAGTTTAATGCCACAATAGTTAATATCTTCTTTGTTCTTCTCCACTCATCGGTCATCCTACCATTTCTTAGAATAGCATTAAATAGCTTGTTGAGCCATCCTATTCCAATCTCTCCAAAACACCTCCAAACATCTATATACCATCTGGACCACTGTCACGAGTTGATAGCACTTCAAAAGTCTTATTTTACTTATTTCATTGATTATCCACCTGCAATTATGGACCGTGTATTACATTTTGGTTTTCACTTACCATTTTGTTACTAGAAGAGAAAGACCATAGTGACACCTTGTGTAATTGGCTCTGTGGTACCTTTTCCTACTTTGATAGGTTTTTTACTACATCTATATTTATAAACAAATGTTCTTTTGACTTTTGGATACAGTAGTAAGTTCTGCATTACTTGAATCTAATGTTTAGTGGACTTGGTTAGGCGTCTTTGATGGAGGAATTGGTCAACGAGAAGCAAAATTTGGTGTCTAAGTTACAGGAAAGATCCAAGGTTATGATAAGTTGCAGGGTTTTCCTAGTAACATATTCTTTTCTACTACTATTCATACTATCTCAGTGAGTTCCTTGAACATGGTTTAGATATTTTTTCTTCCTTCTCACTAGCATCTGTTTGATGAAAACAGAAACTGGAGGATTCATTGACAGCTGCACAGAAGCTTACATCACAGAGACAGATGCAATTATCAAAGGTATCTCGGCATTATCAATTTTCTTCTCATAATAAATCTAATTACCTAATCCGTGCTAATTGTAGTGGTGTTTAATAATTATTGTAGTTGTATAAACATTATGCACAAGTAAGAGAGTGTGGTGAAAGGCTTAAAATCTCAGAACAGGAACTACAGGTTAGTCTATCTTCTTGTCCTGATTTTGATGGCAATGGAAACTAATGGGTTGTATGTAGAGAAATCCGATTGATCTTATTTCATATTGACTTGTGTCTGCATTATGCATTAAAAAGATCATATCTTAAATCAACCATGAGGTCTCAGGTTCAAATCCAAGTGGAGACAATAACACTAGGTTATTTCTTTCCATCTGTGTAAGCCTTGGCAGATAGAGTTACCCAATATCTTTGCTGGTGGGAGCTGAGGTGCACGATTATCCTAAAAAATAAGTATCATATCTTGAATCATTCTCTGCAGTGCACTGCCAATGTTGTACTGCCCCACCACAAGAGACACTTGCATATTTAACATTCAAGTGAAATGATTAAATGATCTATAGGTACTCCAGGGTTATTTGCATTCTTATCATTTATGTTAACTTAAGTTCGTGCTTGGGTATTTCTTGCTGTGACGTGATTGCTAATTTTACTGCAAGATGATGTAGGACATACTCTTTTTTAGTTATGACCTATGGTACATGGATCTGTTGTACATATCCAAGTATGGGCATGAGCATATGGAAATATGCAATACGGGTTCAAGTTTCTTATATTTTGGTAAAATTTGAAGAATTAACACGAAGTATTTGCATCTATTTCACACCCGCTCAATAAGGGTATGTCAAGGCTAATGAAGGATCTGTACAACATAAGATAATGTGGCTGAAGAATACTGATGTGTACATTGAATCGGGGAAAGGATTATAGATTCTTTTTAAAACTTGGTATTCACTTGAGTTTGGTATTAGTTGCTTAACAGCGTTCGTGGTTCGATTCAATAAACCTCCTTCTCCATTTTGCTACAGGTCTCTGAACGAATGTTATTCCTGAAGTAGCTAATCAAGAAGAAGTATAAAATCATCATATCTTGCCTGTTTGTTGGTTAATTTATGCTTGTTTAGCATGTCTTGAACGAGGCCGCTGTTTTATTACACTCAACAATTGATGATATACACTAACAGAGAGAGGTTCTGCTTGCAGGCTCTGGTCCACTCCACGATGATGGGGGTAGAAATTGGTTGATATATTTGTGTATGTGGTGGGTCCGACAAGTAGCAGACACTGCCAATTAAACTAGGTTCAACAATTTTATTGCACTTCATATATGTTTGTATGGCACTCATTTATCCAGTCTTCTTTCTTGCCGATAATGTATTTCATATATGTTTGTATGATGTTCATGTATGCGGTCCTCTTTCTTGGCCTAAATGCATGTTTTTTGGCCTGTCTCTACTGAAAGTACTGAATCTAGATGGTATTTTTCTCCTTTTGTCTTTTATTTATTTAAATCGTATTCTTTGGCCATGCAAACAGTAATCTCAAATAAGCATCAACTAGTAGATGTCAAGTACAAATGAAATGAAACACATATTTGACAAGCATACAGTTAAAACTTGATGTGATTTTGGCTGTAATAAACATGGATACGAAATAACCTTGTATCGTCTCTGTGTACGATGTCTTCGCTTGATAAATGTACTATGTAAACATTTATAAATGTAGATAGGTTTTGCACTTAGCATTTAATCTGTACTTGCTAGAAAAGAAGCACAGATAATGTGAAGAGGTTCAGCAGTTCCATGATTGTATAGAGTAACTGACCAATTATATGGCCTTAGTTTCTTTTTCTGTGCTGCCCGGTGGCCTTGCGTTTTCCTGGATTGATTGATGTAGAGTTTCTAAAATATTTGTAAGCAACATGAATTTGGTTCAAAAAAATGAGTTACTAGTAATTACAAAATTCTCTTATGTCCACTTGTCTGTGATTCGTATTTCCAGCTGTATGCCCCTCTTGCAAGGTTTTAGTTCTCATTACCGCTGGACTATCCAAATACTTTTAATTTCTTATCCATCAATAGAATATATGTATATGAAGAACATATAAATCAAGTTATCAAATGCTAACTTTAAAAATTTCTACGTTAAGTTAATATTTAACAATAAGTATAGGGAGTTGTCATTTAAACAGAATACCAAAAAAAATATTAATTAATGACAACTCACTTAGAATATATTTTGTCTTCTAATGTTTCATTTTTGTTGTTAAACATTTGAATTTTTAATACTTTGACTCTTAATACTATACTATAACCGATTTATATGATGAATTTCGCAAAAAATGACTTGAAATTTTAGCAAATTAGTTAAATCAAAGACTTTTTTTTGGTTAATCGAGATGTAATTAATTGTTAAAGAGAATTTTTTTTGTTGATTCAATTAATATTAGCGCATCCAAATTTTAAATATTTAACCATAATTATAATTTTTATCAAATAATAATATATGTTCATTGTACGTTATGAGATATCACTTTTGGACTTTTATGTTAGTACAACCATTAGTGTTATTGAATCTTACCAACACTTCTCTTTCTTTTATATTCTTAAAATCAAAATATTTTCTTAGTTAGCTTGATACTTGAATTTTATAAATATTAGAATTGATTGAGGTCACTACATTTATGATTGCTAAATATTTGTTCTTACACCCAAGTATGATTTAATAACAAAAGTTAGTTGATATAAATTTTAAATATAAAAATAGTAATTCAATGAGTATTTTATTATTTAAAAGAAATACTCATAAACCTTGACAAAGTACTTCAAAAACAGGAAAAAAGAAGAAGAGGAAAATAAGAATACTTAAACCAAGAAAAGGAAAATAAGAACTACTAAACCTAAGCTTTTATAACCAAAAAAAAAAGTTTACTCCTAAACCAATATTAAAAAAATACTCGTCAAATGCTTGGAATTCAATACCCTAAATCTAAATATAGTTTATATGAAGGACTCCAATCAAACAATATGATTTTTTAGATCAAAATCCTAAGTGTTAGGGAAAGAATTTAGTGATTATTCCTAAATATTTTATCTAAAAGACAAACGATTGTGAGTGAACACTATCTCGATGAATATGAAATATTAAAATATTATATAAATATTCTACTGAAAATTATGTTTGAGTGATAAAATAAAAGTTATAAAAAAAATATAAGTTCTTGAAAATAGTAATTATTGAACTTATCTAGCTAACCTAATAAAGAGAGAAACTATATCCCATATAAGCCCTCAATCATGCAGGTCAATATATTCAACTTAAAAATCAATACAAATTTTATATAATATCATTACTTCAATTTCACAAGTTATCGTTCTTCATTTTTAGTTTTAGCAAGAACGCATTAACCCTTGAACATTTAAGTTATTCTGTAAAAATTTATTTGAAAAGTTATATATTCTTAAATTCATTATAGAAAACACAAATAAAGTCAACTAACTGAGAAAAGGTACCTTTTTTTATCGCAGAAAATATACAAATTATGCTATTAGCTTAATCAATAAGAACAAAAATATAGTAATTATTTTCAACAAATTAGTAAAGAATTAAATGTCTATGATTGTCATAAAATTATATGGAATTCACGGGTTCTAAAAAGACTATGTTAATACTACTTCAGAAGCAGTAAAAATATAAAGTCCATGTTAAAATTAAAATTAGGTTTCGTTCTACCATTTAGCCTTTAATTATTTTTTAAAGTTACTTGTTAAAAGGTGGATTGTGCATATCCTTTAAAATATTCACACTAAAAGAGTACTATTTTATAATTCTATCACAATAAAATAAGAATTTCTTAACATAAAAGGGCTATGTGCACGAGACTTTATTTGTATTTTTAAATTTATTCTCTTTCAATTAGCTTTATTTTACTAAAATTATAAATAAATAATTGGTTATAATTCTATGCAAACAATAAAGACTCCTAAATCTAAAAAGAGTTCTAAGTGAATGAAAGTTTCCTACTTCAGCCCTTTTGGGTGTTAATTTTCTTTTATAAATATATTGTCTTACCTAATTTAAACAACGAATGATTCAAAATATAATATTTGGTTGATTTTGAAGTCCTAAATATTAGGAAATAATTAAATAGATATTCCTTAATATTAGAAAAATAATAAAATGACTATTTTATCTAGCGTGAAATATGTTTTAAAGGATAGAAAAGGCGAACGACATTTCACTAAGGGCCTTCATGCTTTTAATATAGTATTTTTTATTAATGTCAAGTTTTTTCCCCTTTGTTCATGCCAATGATTTTGGGAAGTGATTAAAAACATAAAGCATGATATAACTTCTACGTCACAAATTTTGTAAAGTACTAGTTTTTCGGCACGTGTAAACCAAGTCATATGATATATAATTTTATAAAATGATATTAATATTATTAACAGAGGCGAACCCAGGATTTATTGATGTCGGGTGCACCTTGTCTTAATCCATACAGTCGGCTCTTGCCATGTAGAGGTGTACAAAAAAAACTCGACAAATCGCACCAACCCGATAATCCGAGTCAAATTGAGAAAACAAAACCCGACTATGGTTTGGTTTGATTTGGTTTGGTGTTGGAGAAAAAAATCCGACCATAATTAGTTTGATTTGGTTTTAACTAAAGAAAGTCAAACGAAACCAAACCAGCCCGACATTACATATATAGAAAGTTTAGATATATTTAATATATAAATATATTTATTGTGATGTAATTTATATTTTGAGCACAAGTTATATGAGATATTTTGAGCACAAGTTATATGCTTTGTGCTGCAAAGATTTTACCGGGGAAAAATCCCAAAAACCCGAGAAAACCGAGATTGAAAAACCCGAGTTTTATTGATTTGGTTTGGTCTTTAGATTTAATAACCTGACACAATTGTTTGATTTGGTAATTGCAAAATCCGAACCAACCCGACCTATGTACACCCTTAATGCCATGGTGCATTTAATTGATTGTTGTATTTATTCAACTTATATATACAAATGATAATCCAATTAATTAAATAGATTTAGCTTTAATTTAATCAAATTTTCTACGTCCAGATGAGAAATGTATGTTTTACTAGCATTTTCTAAATTAAATTATACAGAACCACATCTATTCTAACAATTATACAAATAAAAACAAGATGTGTTAAATTTATTGTAACATACCTGAGAGAGAGTGTGTGCAAAAATAATGTAAATGGATTAGAAATTAATAGATGTTGAAAAGAATTAAAGGAAAAAGGGCCAAAAGAAGAATGAAAAATAATGCTGAGGACACTGTTGGTAAGAATTGTAAGAAACAAAGGCCAGGCAAAAGGTGGAAAATAATAAAAACAAAGAAATGACTAAGGAATTAAGAAAGTACCGTTTGTCATACTCAGTTTTTGCAAGAGTAAACTTTCTTTGAATTCAAAAAAAAAGAAGAAAAAAACATCAAAAATAAATGCTGGAACTGGTTTCGAACTCTAGACGTCAATCAACGGAAGACGTCTGATCAAGCTTCCCGACCAGTGCTCCCGTCCGAAGTTTTGTGACAGACGGGGCCAACAAAAATTTAAAATTGTCCTCAATGTACAAACAAATATATATATGACATATATGCAGCATTTTTGCCGAGGTTAACGGGTTTCGGTGACCCCTCTATACCCAACGTAGGTATGCCTTTGATTATTAATATAGATCTTTGAATGAGTAATTATACATAAAAGATATTGTACAATTTAAGTGGATAATTAAAAATCATCTCTTGTTTAGAACTTTGGTAATATGAATTTGTTTACGCAGAATAACAGAAATCAATTTTATAAGTTACGAACTTGCATCCTTATCCACTCTTTTATAATCAACACATGCACTTCAAAGCTACAAAAACCTAAAGTACAATATTATATATAAAAACAGTAAAAACCTATACATTTTTACAATAAAGCTGGTGGCAGAAAAGCTTGTTCACATTGAATAAGCTCAAAATGTTTTAAATTCTTGCAAAAAATAAAAAAACCCTCAAGTACTAATCATGTCAAGCAGAAATGAGAAACCAAAAAAATTCACAATGAGCTGACGAAAGGGTAGCTCGGACAATTCACATAGAATAAGCCCAAAAATGCTCCTATTTAAATTCTTGAAAACTATACATAAACACTGATGAACTAAATTTGCGAGTAGAAATATAACTCAATATAGCATATAAAATTGAGGATTGTAAAGTCTTGCCCAAAATTCAACAGTATACATAAAACAGCAACAACATACAAAATTCCCCTAACAAAAGCTGATGATTTTTCATAGAACACATTGTTTCAACTTCTTTGTGCTAAATTACAGATTAGTTGAGTAACTGATGTTTTATACTTCAATATTACACAAGAGGAGTGATTTGTGTGGTGCTTAATTTTCGTGTGCACTGGATTATTGAATGACTTGGTTCTTCTATTTCTTCCTAACACTACAGTT